TTACTCTCTCACTTTTGTTTATGATTTCACAAGAGAATCTCCTCATTTGGAACCTGCAAAATATCAATAAATGTCAAACCTCAAATTTGTGGTTTTGTCCTCACGATGTCTTTGAAGAGACAAAACAGCTCTAGCTCGAAACTCTTAATAACTGTTTTGCTGACGGTGGCACATTGCTCTTTGCTTTATGATTTGATTAACCATGTTAAAGGATATTTAGATAAGCTAAAAAAACTAGTTATATAATTACAGCAATCTTCGGTATACAGAAGACAATATATTTGGGCTTTTTTTTTAATATAAGTACAAAGGTTGAACATTTGTAGAAACGTAAATGAAAGCCGAACAATGACATAGTAAGATAACGCATTTTAGACTAATAAAATAATATACCAGTAGCTTGTTAATTGATTTATTTAATATATTCATTCTGCAAAGATGACTCAGCTGGGTTGATTTACAAAAGAAAAGTTCATTTCATAATGTTCATTTTGCAAAGTGAATGTTTACAGAGCTTTGGGAATAAGGGCAAGTTGTGTTAACTTCAACAAACCAATTATATTCTTATAATCCTAATGTTTCTTTTACTATCTCTAAAACATTATTGGGTATTCAAAGTGAACACAGGTTTACTGTATTTACTAATAGTAACTTTGCACAGTGCACAGAAATATTTTTAAGTAAATGGCCTCTTCTCCTTTAGTAAATCAGCCTCAATGATTTAATGTGGGTTGCCAATGCAATCTACTCACAACATTTTGCCTTACCAAAAGATAAGTGAACTTTAAGAAGATTTCTACATTTAAATTCCAGGCCCAACCTCAGCAAGAAATACTATTTTACAGCATTATTTTTGGATTTACTGGACAGAAGTGTGAAAATGCCTAATTCTTTAATTTGATGTATAATTAATACTGAAATATTCATGCAACATTTCTATATTTATACATATAGGTTATTAACCTCCCTAGCGGTCTGATTTTGTCAGTATTTCTGTGCTCAAAACGGTATTTTTTTTGCATGGAAATATGTTTTTTTTATTGTAGTCCTGTAATTCTTAGGAATAACTCACTGAAATCTGTCCGAACAAGAGTCTAGCAAACATCCCGAGTATGATAAAATTTGAAACACAAAATCATAAATTATAATATAATAAATAATCATAAAAAATAATAATATAATAATTTAATTCAATAATGTAATCAAACCAAAAAACACTGAAATTTGAAATAGAGCGCCAAGTTCGTACATCACTGAGCTTAGTCGCAAAATCGTTTTCACTGTCTGATGCTGAATTTCCCCACAAATCTTTATCACTAAATTCTACAAGTGGTTCTAATTTACTATCACTGTTCTCTAGCTGGTCTAAAATCGTTTTTGACCTAAAGGGACGCTTTTTGGACGCCATGGACATTTCTCAGTTTCCAGGCAGAAAGACCGGTAAAAATGCAGGCAGGGCACAGGACAAAGCACTTGGGACAAAATGTTTGTGAAATGGTTTGATACAGTAATGTTATACTATGAGATTTTAGTGTATTGAGCAAATGTCACTTTTAAAATTTTTGAATTTCCTGCCGGTTCCGTCCCCCGTACGTCCCGACGCTCGCGGGGAATGGAACCCGAAAGAAGGATGCCGGCATCGGCCGGAGGAGATGGTCGGGGACGCTGCAGGGGGGATATCGTGGGAGTGAAGGACAAGGTAAAATGCTGGAGGGAATCCCTGAGCAACGCTGCAGGGTAATCCCGAGTGTAGCTTGGGGTTACCGCTTTTGGTACTGAAAGTTAACCCCAAGCTATACTTGGGAATACCACCAGGGAGGTTAAGGATTGTTTACCAAACCGAGCAATGTAAAACCAATTGGCTTTTATTTTGTGGCCCTTTGAAGCAAATTTGAATTTTAGTACTGTAGGAAAACATCTATATCCTTTCACTTTCAAGCTTGACTTAAAACAGCATATTTTCAGATGCTATTTCCTTACAGAAAACTATAATTATTTGCATATATAACCGAAAATAATAACCTACACATCCAAGAAGGGCCACGGAGAGAACAACAATAACCAGGCCTCATAGGATCAAGTGCATGGTAAGCTTCTTATGCTATGACGATGTGGGGGATATTTACTAAAACTTGAGTGTGCAAAATCTTATGCAGCTCTGCATAGAAACCAATCAGCTTTCAGGTTTTATTGCCAAAACTTAATAGAACAAGATGAGGTTAGAAGCTGATTGGCTACCATGCACAGCTGCACCAGATTATGCTCCAGTTTAAGTAACACCCTCTGTAACATTCACTCTTATATAATGGGAATCTTGATATTAGGAGTTTAAGTACTTGGGAAATGTGTTTCCATTCATTCAGGTGTGAGTAAGACCTCTTAACCTTATGATTACAGACCCTCAATGGATTGGTTCAATATGTCCTCATACTCTCTTTACCAGAAAATCTCCTCCATCACCAGTCCTATTAGGATCCAGTATCACTTCAAAAAATGTCAATAACCTGATTTTACATTACACATCAGGTCATAAGGATTTTATTTTATTTTTATGTTGTAGCATTATTTTATTGTATATATTTGTATCAAGAGAGCACTTCCCGAATACATAAGTTAGCTATAACTAAAGAGAGGTTTGCAGTTGTTTTGTACAATTAAAACATGGAATTAAGATATAATTACTAGCGATGTTCATGTACATGTCATCTGACACATCGGGGTTTATTTACTAAAGCTGGAGAGTCCAAAATCAGACTCCCTTCTGCATAGAAACCAATCAGCTTCCAGGTTTCATTGCCAAAGCTTCATTGAACAAGCTGAGGTTAGAAGCTGATTGGTTTCTATGCAGAAGGGAGTCTGATTTTGGACTCTCCAGCTTTAGTAAAATAAACCCCATCAAGTCAAGTTCTCTACTTTTCAAGTGTTTTATCATCAGCAGTTAAAGCAGTCTTGTGACTTCTATCAGTGTCCAGCCAAGCACATGTTAAAGCTTGTAGGAGCAGTTTTCATTCTGCTCTAGGAAGATGCGGGACTCCTGACCTCTGTCTGGACAGTGCTGATGGGCTCTGTGCTGATCACATGCACTCTCCCAAGAAAAAAAAAAACAAACTCTCTAGCAATACACACCAAACTGAGCTCTAACCCAACAGTCAAATGTAACAAAGGGGCTGGGATGTTCATGACATCATTGATTTGATATGGTCACATAGCCGTATTTGGATAATATCATTGACCAAATGTGGCCATATTAGGTCAAAGATGCCATGAGCATGCCTGACCCTTTGTTATAGTTGGGTGCTGGGTAGAGAATGCTCTGGCCACAGCTGATTGGGGGCTGATTTGTTGGGAGTGACAGTTTGCTTACAGGTTCAATCAAAACCTAACTTCAGGCTATACTCGTGCTGATCTCTAGTAGTGACCTAGTCTGGGCCCATTATTGGGAAAATCAGCTACTATATTTCTGTCTGCAAGTTGGTCTATTTCCACTGCCTACTTTGAGCCACAAGACTGCTCCCTGGACCACCTCTGTGCATGCCAGGGCTCTCATTGCCATGAATCCATAGATGTGGTGCTGCTAAATCAAGGGCACCTTTATTCATAGATGTCAAATATGTAGATTTTTTTTATTTTTTAAATGAAAACCGCATATATTGTTTAGAGAGTGCCCGAAGTTCAACATGTCATGCTTCAAGGTGCATTTCCCTTTCTGCATTGTCGTGTTTTAACTTGTGTGGAAGTGTATTTTCATTGCATTTTTTAATTTAGAACTTGAAGTGAAAATTGACCAGAGCTTGTTAATACCTGTGGAACGCATGTTATAGGCTTTTTGATGTGTTGCCATTGACTTCTATGGGTTTCCTCACACATTAAACCACAGAAAAAAATGGACATGTCATATTTTTCAAAACGTAGTGCACTGTTTCGCTGAGATGAGAGCAGACATCATATTATAGGAACCATGGCAAATGATTTTAGCGTTTTGGAATGTATGTGTTAAAATGCAATAGCGTGATTGGTTCTCAAACCTCTTCACGCCGACAGTACGCAAATATGCGGCCTCTTGGTGGCTGGGCCTTGATGCCTAGCAATCACATATTTGCATACCATTTGTAAACAAACTTGTGCTGAGAGCACGCGCCCTGTGTTCTCCAAACACATGTGTCATATCCCATGACAAGGTCCTGATCTCTCCTTGCGATCGGGACCTTTCCGATCATGTGACTGCCATGACAGCCAATCACGGTGGTCACATGACCCTAAACCCCGCCCCACATCCTGGCATCAGAAACCCCTTAAAGAACAGCCATATTTACAGTTTTGCTTTAATCTTTCTTTTTTTTTCTTTTTATTTTGGAAAAATAGGGGAGGGTCCTTTTATTTTTATTTTTTGCCATCTCTGTGTCTCATTTGGAAAATTCTGTCTTAGACAAGTGTCCCCATTGAAATATTTCTTCTCTGTTGCTGTGGAAACTCAAAATTTTGGATTTATCCTCACTTTTATATCCGGTGATACTGGCAATCTGGACAATAACAGAGAGTTAATCTCCTTAACCACTTGCCTACCAGACACTTATACCCCTTTATTTACCAGGCCAATTTTCAGCTTTCAGCGCTGCCGCACTTTTATTGACAATTGCGCGGTCATGTAACATTGTACCCATATGAAATTTTGATCATTTTTTTCTCACAAATAGAGCTTTCTTTTGGTGGTATTTAATCGCCACTGGGCGCTTTACTTTTTGCGCTATAAAAAAAAAAAAAAGTTTCTTTGTTTCTATTATAAAATTTTTCAAACAGGTATTTTTTCTCCTTCACTGATGTGCGTTGATGAGGCAGCACTGATGGGCACTGATAGGCGGCACTGATGGGCAGCACTAAAGGGCACTGATAGGCAGCATTAATGAGGTGTCACGGATAGGCGGCACTAATATGCAGCACTGATAGGCGGCACTGATAGGTGACACTGATGATGGGTACTGATAGATGGCACTGACTGGCATCACTGCTGGGCACTGACTGGCGGCACTGACTGGCACAACCCCTGGGCACTGACTGGCAGCACTGCTGGGCTGCACTGGTGGGTGGCACTGGTGGGCAGCACTGGTGGGTGGGCACAGGTGGGTGGCACTGGTGGGCACAGGTGGGTGGGCACAGGTGGATGGCACTGCTGGACACAGGTGGGTGGGCACAGGTGGGTGGCACTGCTGGGCACAGGTAGGTGGCATTTCTGGGCACAGGTAGGTGGCACTGCAGAGTGGCACAGGTGGGTGCACTGCTGGGCACAGGTGGGTGCACTGCTGGGCACAGGTGGGTGATCTGGGCACAGGTGGGCGGAGCTAGTGGGCGCACTGCTGGGCACAGGTGGGCGGAACTTGCGGGTGGCACTGCTGGGCACCGATCATCAGCGCACTGATCATCAGTGCCCTGATGATCGGTGCCGATCCCCGCTGTGACAACTGCCGGTCCTCGGCAGTACTTTCCTCACGATCTGACAGCGTGAGGAAAGTGCAGCCGAGAACCGACACTTGCATTTCCCTCTGATCAGCGTGTCATTGGACACCACTGATCACGTGGTAAAAGGCCGCTGTGATTGGCCTTTTACCACATCACGTGATCAGCTGTGTCCGTAGGATACAGCGATCACGGAGATCGCCGGGTGCGCGCCCCCTGGGGCGCGCAGGAGAGCGCGTTCTGGGAGGACGTCATATGACGTCCACTCAGAACTGGCCGGCCGCAGTGCAGCCGTCATTCGGCTATCTGCGGTCGGCAGCTAGTTAATGGGGGCAAAGACAACATTAAAAAAATGGCAGTGGTTCCAATGCCTCACCATGCTTTCAAAATCTAAAAAAACTGAAAATTTGTTATCAAACACTTACTATAATTTTCCTTTCCTGATGAACTTCATGGCAGCATATGTTTGGGTAGCTCCATCCTCGCTCCTTCCTCATAGGAACCCATTCCCATAAATTTTTAGGCTGAACAAGAAACTGGGGGGTTTATTTACTAAAGCTTGTTTGCTAAAAATCTTGTGCACCTGTGCACGGTAGCCAATCAGCTTCTAACCAAGGAGTGCTCAAACTCTGGCCATCGGAGCCCTCTGATGTGGCCCTCCACCTCAAATTGAATGCAGGAGTTTTGGTGTGCTTTCAGAAAGTGCATCACACCCGCAAGATATAATACTGTAGTCTATGGCAAAGAGCAGATAACCCACAGGAAAACTACAGGTGAACTGCGCTGCACCCACAGTGTGGGTAAACTAAAGTGCATCAGTGTAAAATCAGTCTTATAGGGGACTTAGGACAGTAAGGAATTGTTTACGTTTAAGGTTGGGCAGAAAAAACCCATAATTAAGATGTGTTTTTACCACACCCCCCAACTACTGATGTGGCATCAGGGTTCGCAGGGGCAACACTGCCCCATGTTCCACAAGGCAATTTTGGTCTCCCTGTCACACTCTGTTTTACACTTGGACAGGAGGTGCGGAGGGGGCGACATGAACCGATCCTCTCCATTTTCTTCCTGAAACCACTGAAAGCCACCTTCTCCTGCTCTCCTTCCCACCGGCATTCAGTGGCTGTAAGAGGAAAATGTTCAACATGCTATTCAAAATAAAAAAATTTAAATTCTGAACCATTTCATTTAATTGTGGCCATGACTAGTTACCAAACCACTTAAGTGGCCCTCACTCTTCAAAGGGTTGAGCACGCATAGAGAGAAAACAGGTGGCGCACACACCTAATGCATTATCCAAGGTTTATTGTAGGAGTGAATAAATAAAAACATACTCACAGACGAAGCATGTATCTAAAAAGCATAGAAAAATGACAATGGCCACAACGGCAGGCAAGGTGTTCTCACTGTCAGTGTGGTCAAATGGCTGACGCGTTTCGGGGATGAATCCCTTTCCTCAGAGCTGATGACCAACCTCTGATGCAGATGTATGATGAATGGAAAGTAAGAGCCTCGCTGTTGATGGTTGAGCACGCATGTTCTAACCTCAGCTTGTTCAATTAAGCTTTAGCAATGAAACCTGTAAGCTGATTGGATTCTATGCAGAAGTGCACAAGATTCTGAGTGAACCAGTTTCAGTAAATAAACCCCAGTATTTCATAACTAGCCTACTCACAACACTGGGAGAGTACCCAGGCTGCCATGGAGTTCATTAGGAAAAGAAAATTGCCATAAGTATTTGATTTAAAAAAAATTTCCCTTTCCCTGGCTGACTCCATGGCAGCATACGTTCAGGAACTAACTAGCCAAAAAACAAGGATGAGATGAAGAAACAAATCATGTTTCAATCTTAGCACTTAACCAATAGAAACCTTATGGCTAATAATTAACATGAGCTAGGTTCACATCACAGTGAACCAGAACAGCCTTAGTGGAGGATCAAGTCATCACTGCACCAAAAAAACCTTAGTGGAGGACCAAGTCATCACTACACCAAAAAAAATAAAGGTAACATAATGACATCTTGGCAGGTCCTATGAGGAGGACAAAAAAGGAAGACACAGTCTCTTTCTCAGCCCCAAAATCTATAGGGGTGGGGTCCCATGGAGTAGGAGCTAGGGCAGAGCTACCTGAACACATGCTGCTATAGAGTCAGGAAAAGAGTTCTGCTTTTAGTTATAGTTTAATCCATGATGTTGCTGACTATATACTCTTTGTCCTGCGCATACGTTGATACTTCCATGTTTCAACCACCTATGCACTAGATTATAGTACCCAATATCTTAATTTGTAGACTTAAAGTATAGCTAAAGGCAAAACTTTTTCTTTGAGTTTTGGGTAGAGGGGAGATGGATTAGAACACCTGTCAGGTTTTATTGCGGTATGTCCGTGTTAGGGAGATACCTCCTCTCTTTTTTTTTCCTTTTTACCATTATCACCTAAAGTGAATGTAAAAGAAAATCCCACATTTTGGGTTGTCTCCAAAAAAAAAATAGAGGGGAAATCTTCCAGTGAGGACACTGGTTCTGGTGACCTGGGGGTCCCCAAGGAATTCCCTTAATTTACTATCACTTTGGCTATGAGACAGGAAGTGAGAGGGAAATCTTCGCAATGGGACACAGATGGTGAAAAAAAATCTGACAGGAGATATAACTCTCCCTTACTGAAAAAAAAGCTTCAGAGCCAGTAGAAGAAGCTGGAAGGTGTCCTGCAAAGTAGTATGTTTGATATTGCCTTCCAATCCAAACAAAAGTTTGAGTATTTGTCAAAGCCAAGGTCTGGAGCATACCATTCACTGACTCTCAGAAGTGTCCCATTGGGGAGATTTGCCTTTCCTTCTGTCTCAGTGAGAAATAAGGAAGTGGGAGAAAATCTCTTTAAGACAGGTTTCACTGAAACAAGTCTACCCATTAGAAGATCTCCCCTTAATTCCTGTTCTGGTGACAACTGTAAATTTGGATTACAAACCACATTCTGTCACTGACAATGATCATTGGGAAAAAATCGGAGGATGACTCTTCCCAGCAGGGACGCAGACAGCAATAAAATTCTTATTCTAACCTTTTCCTACTTTATCCAAAAGTTTTAAAAAATGGCTTTAAACACAATTTAAGGATTGCAACTTTTTTTCCTACAAGCTGTTCTTAATCTTAGTAACCTAGCAACCAAATGACATTTTTTTTTAAAATGGTATAAATTATTAAAACTGCTACAGTAACATTTTTGGAGCTTTAAATGTAATATTTGGATTTGTAGCAGGTATTTTGAACTCACTTTTGTCTTGTAGATTAATCAATGTACAGTTTGCTGAATTTATTCTTTATGGCTGTAAAAATTTCTGTCATATAGTCATAAAGAAAAATTATATGTTTCCAACACTTGTTTTTTTGTGGCTATTGTGCTGATGCATTAAAACGCTTCAGTAGTTTAGTCTTAACAATTGCTGCATGTCGCTCAACACTTTGCACAGCTTCAAACATGATTGTGTTTGATTTTTTTTTAAATTGATTTTATTTTTGAAGCAAAGAAAAAAAAGCTAGAATTCTAAGAGTAGTACAAAAGCGCCATCTGCTGTTATTAATGTAGACTACATGCAAAAAGGAAACGTATATACAGCCTTAAAAAACACCCATAGCTCATAACTCAAAAATATATATCCCAGCGCCAAAAAGAAAATACTAAGTGATTATGCAGCTGTGCAACAGTGCAAGAGTGAAAACCACCAATAATCAAATAACAAAAAAAAACAGCGCAAAATCTACAAACAAAATTACACAAGTGAACAAAAATAAAATTAAAAATAACAATAAGTGTCCATGTGAAAATAAGTCCTTATTCCCGTCAAGACCAATAGTAAATTATTCAAAATGTGCTTCCACCTGTCCACCATGTGAAAAATAATATTGACCGCACTCACCAGATAGAGGTGAGTAATGAGCCTTATAGGAAATAAGGGATCCTATAACCCCTCCAAAAGAGATCAAATCTTCTTTTTTCACCCTGATTGGGAATATTAATCGCCTCCACTTTAGTTGACGCACTTCTGGTCCGCCGTCATTCTGGCTTACGTCACTTCCGGTGTTTGGAACGCATGCCGAGTGATGCGGTTCAAGCGGCCATCTTAGAGTTGGAAAGCTGTTCATTCTCTGCAGATACTACAGAAGCATGAGATCCCTATATTGGCATTGTGAAAATTGGTTATCTTGAAGCCATTTAGGCTATTAAACAAGGCTTTTATTTATATTTAAACATGTGAGTGGCCTTATTCTATCCTTATATTCTATATTAAGTGTCAGTATTACACTATGTCGTTTCTTTCTCTATACACCATTGAGGATTCCATGGAGGAATAAAGTGGAGGCGATTAATATTCCCATCATCAGTGGGAAGAATTGGTGTCAGTCAGGGAGGAATAGTGCCCCATCATTGGTGTCAGTGGGAGGAATAGTGCCCCATCATTGGTGTCAGTGGGAGGAATAGTGCCCCATCATTGGTGTCAGTGGGAGGAATAGTGCCCCATCATTGGTGTTAGTGGGAAGAAACGTGCCCCATCATTGGTGTCAGTGGGAAGAAACGTGCTCCATCATTGGTGGCAGTGGGAAGAATCCTGCCCCATTATTGGTGTCAGTGGGAGGAATAGTGCCCCATCATTGGTGTCAGTGGGAGGAATAGTGCCCCATGATTGGTTTCAGTGGGAGGAATAGTGCCCCATCATTGGTGTCAGTGGGAGGAATAGTGCCTCATCATTAGTGTCAGTGGGGGGAGGAATAGTGCCCCATTGTTGGTGTCAGTGGGGGGAGGAATAGTGCCCCATCGTTGGTGTCAGTGTGGGGGGGGGGGATAGTGCCCCATCATTGGTGTCAGTGGGGGAAGGGGATAGTTTCCCAACATTGGTGTCAGTGGGAGACATAGTGTACCATGATTGGTGTCAGTGGGAGGAATAGTGTCCCATCATTGGTGTCAGTGGGAAGAATAGTGTCCCATCTTTGGTGTCAGTGGGAGGAATAGTACGTCGTTGGTGTCAGTGGGGGGGAATAGTGCCCCGTCATTGGTGTCAGTGGGGGATATAGTGTCCCAACAT